GCCCCCCAAATGGCCACTACGGCCAGCGCTGCGCTGATCCAAAGCCAGGAGCCAGGTGCTCCCTCCTGGTCTCCCATGCAGGTGCAGGGCCAAGCACTTGGGCCATCCTCCACTGCACTCCTGGGCCACAGCAGAGAGCTGGACTGGAAGAGGAGCAACCGGGACTAGAACTGGCGCCCATATGGGGTGCTGGCACTGCAGGCGGAGGATTAACCAAGTGAGCCACGGCGCTGGCCCCAATTTATTTTTTTAAATGTATTTGAAATGCAGAGGGACCATGAAAGAGAGGCAGAAGGAGACAAGCAGAGAGCAATCTGGGACCCATTGAGTCACTCCTCAAATGCCTGTAGCGGTCAGGGCTGGACCAGGAGCTGGAACCCCAGGTCTCCCAAGTGGATGACCAGGACCCAGGTGCTTATGCTACACCTGCTGCCTCCTAGTGTCCACACTAGTAAGAAGCTGTAACAGAGTATAGAGCCAGAACTTGAACTTATGCATTCTAGCATGGGTTGCAGGTCTTCCAAGTGGTGTATTAATGGCCATGCCAAACATCTGCCCAAGATCTGGTTTTGTTTTGTTTTCTTAAAATGTGTTTACAGGTATGAATTTCCCTTTTGGCAGTCTTTTCTGCACTGATACTCATTCCAGTGTTTGAAAGTTGGAGTTTTCCTCTTTGACTTTGGATCATATCCTTTGTTTTGTCTTCAACTTCACTAATCATTATTTCTTTAATGTTGATCTGCCAAGCCTTTTCAGGCAGTATTCATTTTTAGAATTCTGATTTTAGTCTTTTCTGTATCTTTTGTGTCTCCTCTTTACTGTTTGAGCATATGGAGTGAGAGTGTGGTTAGTATTTTAATATCCTTATCTGTTAATTCTAGCATCTGGGTCAGTTTTTTTGAGTAATTTTCCCCCCTCATATGGGTCACATTTTCCTGCCTCACATTTTTGCCATTCACTATAAATTTTACCCGGTTGAAGGTTGGCTCCTTTTCTGTTTTTATATAAGTTTCTGTGCTTTTCTCTGTGTAGTTTGATACTTCCCAGTGTTGTTTTTCAGATTTGCTAGGCAGATGCAGAGCAGTGTTCAATCTAGGGCTGTTTGTTCCCCATTATTCAGTCAAAATATTCTTGAGTAACGTATACCTAGTGTCCCGTAAATTAGGTTGCTCAGTTTGTCCGGGTGGAACTTGTACCACTCCCCAAAATGTGCGAACATCAGGCAAAGTCACCACTGGTCCTCCCGTGCTCTTCTTTCCCCACACTGATCAATGCTCAGCTGAGCAATCGAGCTGCAGGAAAGCCAACAGGGAAATGACTGTAATTCTCCACTGTTTTGCTTTCGCTTTTTGTTTTCTTTTGCCCTGCTCTGCAAATTCTAGCGTCTTGGCCTCCTCAACTCAGCTCTTCCTGATTTTGCCTGACTTTTCCCTTCTTGGATTGCCAACTGGAAATCTTAACTGGGCCATACGCAGGGACAGTCACATTTCTTTTCCATCTCTCATTTACTTCTGTTCTTCCTTGCCCATCTGATATCTTGAAAAGTGCTGTTACGTGTATTTTCACCAGATTTTTGTTATTTAGGTGATAGGGTAAATCTAATCCCTGTTATTACATTTCGGTCAGCACCATAGGAATTTAATATATCACACACATGCCATAGATATTCATGACCTTCTGTTTTATTCTGTGGGCTGAGCAATTTGTCTTAGATGACATAATGATGTTAAGATGACCTAAATACAGATGCTGTAATCAAATTTTGTTTTTCTCACTTAGTAACTAATCAATGAGTCATCAGTGTGAAGGGATACAAGCATCTATCATCTGAAAACATTTCAGTCCTGTAACTTTTCCTTTCCCCATACTCAGCCCTACCTGCCTAGCACTTTCTCCTCCATCTTCGTTTTATTCGTAATGTTGATAGGAATTTTTCTGAAAAGATAGTTTTGAAAGTTTTAAGTAGAACAGAATTCCACACAGAAAAGTAATGAAAATATTTTAAAGTTATGTCTCTTCATGATAATAAATAATAATTGAATTCTGCCATAAAGTGGACATTATCTTAAGTCTTTTACATATTTTAAATTATTGAACTCTCACAGAAGCCATTAACTAATTTCTATTATATTCTCTGGTAAAGACATCGGAGTTCAGGGAGGTAAAGGAACTTGCCCAAGGTCACAGAGACCCTTACTACCTGATATCTTTTCACAGGGATTTCACAGAAAACCTGTTTATGTGTGGGATGAGCAGATTAACTAGAAAAGGCTTTAATGAAATAAGCTTTATTTATTCACAAATTATTGGTCACACTCAACGATGTTGACTCAAGCCAAATGTTATTACAGAAAAGGAATTTGGTCCTATAATTTTCTCTCTGTGGAATCAGTATAGCTGTGAATCATGATGACCCTGTTTTAACAGTTAATGGAAATGAAGTCTTCTCCTTCCATCTTGTCTTCCTAAAATTCCTGAACTCATGATCTTCCCTCCAGATTAGATCTTCCATTTGTATTTCTCATTCATGTTGGAAAAGAAAAAATGTATCCAACTGCACTTGCTAGTTATGGTAATAAAGACTACATTTAAATGGAATTGTTGCCATGGTATATGGATCACTGCAGTGGGGTCTTGCAGTGGGGGAGAGAACATGGATTTGACTTTAGCTCCAACAAGGATAGTGAGAATTTGTAGCCAAGGAGCAGAGTGGATGAGGAAGCATCAAGGCAAGTTGGATCCCTGCTAGATGGACTCAGCAGAACTCTTGCTGAAGGCAAGCTAGGGTGATAAGACGTAGGGAGTCGTCAGATACCGAAGATAACTTTTACTGAATTAACTTAACAAGATCCTTGCTCAAACTAGATTTTATAAGGACAGTGAAGAAAACCCAGGGTTGATGTAATTGAGCAGAGGGTTCAGAGGAACCTGATTAAAATTTGTTTAAATGAATCTTCATCAATGTGAAAGGAATCATTCACTCAACCAACCTTGAAACTTGGGAGCTTTCTTTGGTTTCTCTCTGTTACCCAGTCACAGGAATAGTCATCCCACAAGTTCTATTGATACAAATCCTCAAATAACCTCATGAGTATATCTCTTTTGTTCCTTATCTATGATCTGTGCCTTAGTTTAGGCTCCTGGTTCAGTCCATCTAGATTGCTAAATTAAACCCTGAAAAAAGCACCTTATCCCCTTCACTTCCCCAACCATGTTTACTTCATTTGTCACATGGATGTCACAGTGGCTTTCTTTTTTTTTAAGATTTATTTTTTTAAAGGTAGAGTTATAGAGAGGCAGAGGCAAAGAGAGAAGTCTTCCATCCAGTGTTTCCCTCCTCAAATGGCCTCAATGGCCAGAGCTGGGCTGATCGGAAGCCAGGAGCCTCTTCCAGGTCTCCCATGTGGGTGCAGGGTCCCAAGGACTTGGGCCGTCTTCAACTGCATTCCCAGGCCACAGCAGAAAGCTGGACTGGAAGTGGAACAGCCAGGACTATGAACCGGTGCCCATATGGGATGTTGGCACTGCAGGTTGTGGCCCTTATCCACTGCGCCACAGCACTAGCCCCCAACAGTGGCTTTCTAGAATTGACACACTCATGCATTCATCTAAAACGTTGAGAGGCTTCATGGTGTTTGATACAAAGTCCACATTTGTGATCTACTCTGGGGAAACCACCATATTCCAGCAAAGCTTGTCTTTGCAGAACCGTCATGACCCCACATGGGTTCTTGGTTTCAGGTGAAGCGCTATGTTCACTGTTCCTTCTAACTCTTTACTTACAGTTTCTATAATTTGAAGTCCTTTCTCCCTGGTCCTCCATTTATCCCCAACTGCTTCACTCTATGTTCAATGCTAGCTTTTCCTTATGATTTTTCACACTAGCCTTCAAATCCTTATGGAGAGAGAAGAGAGTAATTAGTTATTCCTGTTTATTTGTTGCACATTTTCTTGTGTTAAAATTTCATCATGCTCTCTTCCTTTCTCTAAATTGAGCTACAAAAGAGGTCAACCTGCTCTATAACCACCTTCCCTATTACCTCACCTATGCCTTTATCAGGGCATCTTTTATTTGCATGCTATGACACAGTGCTAGAAGCAAGGTCATGTAGAGAAAGAAGTAGGCGATTTTTCTCACAGTGTCTTCTGGCTTTAGAATAATGCTTTGCTGTTCAATAAATATTCGCCAGTGAGTAAATGAATGAGAAAATTAAGTTGATCAATTCCCTAATTTAAACTCCTACCTGAACCAACATCAGCTACCATTTTGTACTATTGACACTTTTGTTTCCACAGAAACAATACAAATGTAGAATGAAACTTTAGGAAGAAAATATTTGGCACAGTGGTTAGGATGTTGCTCGGTTATGCCCACATCCTATACCAGAGTGCCTGATTTCCAGTCCTGGCTCCTCATGCTCTCCATCCCAGCTTCCTGCTAATTCACACCCTGGAAAGCAGCAGGCGATGCCTCAAGTACTTGGCTACCTGACACCCAAGTGGGAGACCCATATCGGATTAAAGATTGCTGGTTTCAGCCTGGCCCAGCTGCAGCTGGCTGTGAACGTGTGGAGCAGGAACTAGCAGATGAGAACTTGTTCTACATAAGTATTTGGCTCTCTATCTATATCTGTCTCAAAAACGGCTAGTTTGTCCTTGCTGTATCTTCAAAGATTAGTTTGCACATCTCAAGAAATTTATTCATAAGACACTGGAGACACAATTCACTAGATTTTAAAATTGTTCTAACCAGGAAATATCTGGGCTGCAGGTGCAGACTGGCAGATAATAATATTGGGGGCACACCAGTAAAGAAGGAGAACAAGGAAGCAGAGGAAGTGAGGGGGCACGAAGGTACACTGGAGCATCAACATTTAGGAAAATACAGAGGAAGTGAAACTCGCAACGGAAAATCAAAAGAGTAGCCAAAAAAGACAAGGAAGAAACAAAGGAGTGACGTCATAGAAGGCACAGGAAGAGGTGACGTTAAGGCAGCAGTAGTCAGGATTGTCAGATGATACAGCAAGGTCAAGTGAAGCAACGTATGGCCAAGTAAAACAGTACTCATGTGGACTGAGCGACCAAGGCGCTGGCCCTGATGGCAGATAAATACTTTCAGTGGAGTGGCCGGGGAATGCCTCTTGAGAAACTATGAAGATAAGAAGTAGAGAAATAGAGAGTCAACAGCTCTTTACGAACTTCTCCGTGAAGGACTATAAAAAGAGAGCACAGGCGCAGGAAATGGCCTCGGGTGAGAGGGGCATCTCTTCATTATGAACAAAAGGAAAATGAAGGCTTTCTTGATTCTGTTTTCCTCCATTTTATTTGTTTAAAAATCTTATACTTGCCATAACTTTTCTGGCATCTTCAATGCAAATTGTTTCTATTTAAAGTAACTCAGAGGATTCCTGTGATCCCAAAATGTCATCATTTGAGAATCTATAGCATCGGGTATGTTTTCATGGAGTCGATATATAATCCCAGCTTCTCACACTTAAATGTTTATATGAAATGCAAGAGAAAAATACACCAATGTTTGAACTACCAAGTTTATGCTCCTGTAAATAGTCCCAGATAGCACATCTCATTTAAATGGTTGTGCAAACAAAAATATTTCAGATGTTAGTGGAAAGAAATATACATGTTTCTGTTCTGTTTAGAACTTTACCTTCTCAAGATCATATTGCTTTCAGTCTAAAATGTTTATTTTTATATATACATATCCTATAATGTCATATTATTGTATGTGTTAAATATTTCTATTTTATATATACGTATTTATTAGTTCATAAGAGCAGACTTCACTAAACCTCCAATTTTTAAAATTTTATGTATTTGAAGGAAGAGAGAGGAGAGAGAGAGAGAGAGAAAGAGAGAGAGAGGAGAAAACTCAGTCCGTCTGGGGAGTCAGGCTCTTCTCCGAGTCTAACATCCTTTCTACTCACTGTAGGGCTGCTGCCATTTTCAGTCCATCAGTTATCCTAGTGGCTACTGCTCCTGAGATGACGTTGGCACTACCTCAATGTCATCCCTTGCACCTCCATCCCAGACCAGCTTCCTGGGTTGAGGGTGGATAACCTACTCATAGACACTATTCTGAATTCTGGCATACACCAATGAAGGCCTTTATTTGAAGGAAGCAAAACAATGAACTGTGAACCATCAATCTTTCTCTTTTCTCCTTTTCTCCCTACTACTTCTAAAGCTGTTTTGGCAGGCCACATTTCCCCACTCTCAGAAGTAGATCCCTCTCCTAGAAGTATCTTCCAAGATAGAAGTCTATTTTGGTCCTTTGGCGAGTTCCATTTTGAGATCCTGGCTCAAATCTAATCCTACATTCACTTCTGTGAAAATTAAATTTTTGATACACAAGAGAATTTTTAAAAAATTTGAGATAACTGGGCTATCACAGATTATATCATTGGAGAGTAATTAATGAAAGAAAAAAGTTGGTTATGGTGTAGAGAGTACTGTTGAAGATCCTATCAGATTTGGCTGAAAGCACAAAATGCAGTCTGGGAGCCTTGTGGCTTTGGTAAAGGGGATGGTGGGATTCACATGGGGAGAGGCAAAACACTCTACTGTGCAGCAGCGATGGCGGCCAGGCTGTTCCTGCCACTCGCAGTCGGCATGGGACACCCATGTTAGACTGTCAGGAGTTTCTAGAAATAAGTCCCCACTTCCAAGCCAAGGAGGTTCCTCCATGGGAGTTTCTGGGGGCTCTGCTGAGAAATGGAGGGAGACTAAGTGGGGAACTGTCAGAAATGATGAGTGACTTCCGGTACAAAATGGGTTGTGGGCAGCGGCTTATTTGTATGTTTATTAGTTTACTAGTTTCCCTATGCCACACTTCCTGCCTGTATTGTTAGGCTGCTAGGAAGTCCTTCTCATTTCTGAACTGAAGAGCGAGACTGAGCTGGAAAACCACTTGGGTAGGCTTGGATTCCACAGCTGTAGCCGTCTTCCAAACAAGATGTGTAAGATGGTGGGCAACAGGAAAGAAAATGCCAAGCCCTAGGTATCAACTCAGAAGTCTTCCTAACTCCAGTGCTGTGTGTTCATCTCAGTCCTCTGATTGATTCCATACCACACACTTCATTAACCTCTTTCCCATCAAAGACAAAGAACAAAATATCCTCGGACAGACACTGAGTTAGTTGTATAGGAAAATAAGACAGGGTAGTATCAAAATGTTTCTGAAAACATGCCTGTTAGCCTTGAAAAAGGCAATACTTAGAAGAAAACAAGACAGCATGTTAAAGTAGCAAGGGAAACTAGATAAAATGAAAACTCATCTATATTGCCAAAATGCTTGAAGACAGTTTGGAAGAGATCTCAAGGGCAATTAAAGAACACTTATTAGGGCAGAGGTTGTGTTCAGCCACCACTTGTGACACTGAGACCATATCAGAATGCTGGTTCAAGTCTGGTTGCTCCAATTATAATCCAGCTTCCTGCTAATGCTCCAGGGAAGGCAGTGGATGATGGCCCAAATGCCCGAGTTCCTGCCACCCATGTAGGAGATACAAATGGAATTACTGATCCTTGCCTTTGGCTTGGCCCAGCCCTGGCTATTGTAGCTATTTGGGGAGTGAACCAGCAGATTGAAAATCTCTCTTTGTATTTCTCACAAACCATCTCTCCCACTTGCTCTGATACTCTACCTTCCAAATAATAAATAAATAACCCAACATAAAATTATAAAGAGTGGGAGTCTAATTCCTTTCCCTTTAAATCTGAGCTGTACTTGGCTACTTACTTCACCAACAAAATTCAATAAATGCTTTCTGGTACCTTGAAGTCTAGAGCAAAAGCCTTGACGTTTCTGTCTGAGATTTTTGGGAAGATGCCCTTTTCAAACTCCTCAAATATACGTTTTTAAAAGTGTGAAATTTGAAAGTGTTTTCAAATTGTGGCAAGAACACTAAACATGAGATCCAGCCTCAGCAAATTTTGTTGCATTGTACTCTACAGCATTGTTGACTATAGGCACAGTGTTGTAAACTTTGGAGACTAACCCTTTGTCAGATGTATGCCTGGCAAAGAGTTCTTCTCTCTCAATAGGTTTCCTTTTTCACTCTGTTGATTATTTTGTCTTATTTGCTCTGCAGAAGCACTTTAGTTTTAGGTAGTTCCACTTGTCTTTTTTGCTTATATTATTTGTGTTTTTGGTGTCTTATTGAGAAAATCATTGCCAAGATTAGTATCATAAAACCTTACCCTTATGGTTTCTTTATAGTTTTAAGTCTTTACGTTTAAATCATTAATCTATTGTGAGTTCATTTTTGTGCATGGTGTTATATAAGGGTCATTGTGGGGTGTGAGCATATGTGTGTTTCTTCACTCAGGTAAATACCTGTTATCTGACAAATAATAAAGGTGCTAGGTTTTTATTGATTTGACTTACCTACACATGGCTACCAAATGAATACATTTCAAAAACTAGATCTGGAGAAGTGACAGATATTTCGTGCTTCCCTAGTGTTTGCTTCTTTAATATTCTGAATTTATATGCAGTACTTATCTTACATTTCAGCCAATTCTCTAGTACTTTTTATTGTTTAAGACTTCATTTGAGGTTGTTATCCAATGATGTCTTGTGACTAGCATGTACTAGTTTGTGAGAACCAATTGCTGACTTTTCAGGAATTAAGCAATCATAGCCATTATAGAAAATTAAATTGTATGAAATAAAATATATTTATACAAAGGGAATAGTATTCAAAACTTAATGCTCTTCATTTCTTTACTACATTTTACTGTTTTCTAAGCTCTTGAGATTATTTACATATATTGTATATTTAGATAAATATATCAAATGACAATATTTTATTGCACATCCTTTGTTCTGTGATGTGCTGAAATTGAAATTTACCCTGCTGGGAGTACTTGTACAACAGAAATCTGCAAATGCTACAAATCAGGACATAATTTACTGTTTTATTGATTGCTAATTCAGATTAACATTAAAACTGTTCTATTGTTACTGTACTCTAAATAGCATCTAATAATGAAGAAATATTATTCAGTATTTGCAAACTATTATCTGATTCAGCAAGAAATTTTTCATGTCATTGATGAATGGGTGAAATTCCAAAGCACATTTTCATTGTTTCACTTTGTGGAACTTATTAATATTCCAATAGGAGCTATAAAGTTCACTAATGACACGAGCAACTTCTTTGCTGATTTAGGTAATAAGAAGCATTTATCCATACTTTGAATCTGAAAAATTATGGATGAATTGCAACCATAAATTGGTTATTGACATAAGAGTTTGGCAAGAGTCGGTGAAAACATTCTGCAAGAAATAATTGATTAAATGAAATTTATAATAAAGAGTACTGTACAATTTATAATTATTTGTCACTGATTTTTGACACATCGTTTATATCTGTTGAAGCTGTAATTCTTCAGTATATACATTTTTTCCAAGAGAACTGGTTGTTACTGTACCGGCACACCATTGATTATGACTCTCAGATGTCACAAGCTAGCTCTTCTCTGTTCCACACTTGCCTTTCTTATTTAGTACGATCCATGACCTCCAATAAATGCAGAAGGAAATACGTGGCAGGGTAGAAAAGAATACCCTAATTGCCTTACAAATCAGTGCCTGAGGGGCGGCAGGGGGCGGCTGCTGCGTTGGTTTATGGCAGCTCCCAGAGTCTGAGCCAGGAGGCAGACAGGGGTGTCCAAAGCCTCTTTCTGATGAATTTCAGGTCATCAGATTTGCTCATATTTAGAAATTGCACAGAATTATTTTCCCAGTCCAGACTCATCCATCTTTCAGTTCCCAGTAGGTTGCAGCAGTATTAGGATTTTTTAGTATGAGTTTTTAATATGCATTCTCATTGTTCTCACTGCTTTAATTTAGTATTTGATGGGAAAAGAGAACATCTACTTCAGTATTATTATTATTCAGGTGATTTTTTTAAAAATTGGATTCAGAGTCTCTTTTTTTATCTAAAAGAGATAAGAGAAATTAATAAAAGTTGTATAAAGTTCTCCTCAGTAGAATACTAGTTTGCTTCTATCTCCAGCCAAAGTTATGAACTTGAAGTCCCTAAACCATTTAGTTTCCTTATAGTCTATTTAATTACCTGAACTAGATTGCTTGAATTTAAAAACTGGAGTTTCATTTAACCTCTTCAAAGACCTCATAAACATTTAAAAATATTTTCTGTTTTCCCAGTGTGAAGCCTTGTAAATAAGTTTGGGGTGTTTACATTTAAACGGTGATGGTAGCTACCAGTGAGGACTTAATGAGGAAGAGAGTAAAGTAAAAATAATTCTGTCGCCCAGGTCCTTTTCTCTGTGACCTGAGAACACACAGATGAAATATTCAGGCACGAATAAACCTACACGTACCCCAAGAAGAAACTGAGCACACTGTGTAGTGCTGTCTGGCTCCAATAAAGAGAGGTCAGCATAGGAGGAAGCTTTTTAGTGAATCTTAAAAGATAATGTCAAATTTACACAAGGAGCAAAATAATGACTACATCTGTTCAGAAGTAGCATAACTCATAGATTCTTTAGCATTTATAACTCACACTCTCCTATGATAAAATATAAATACATTTTCTTTTTTTTAAATGGTATATATATTTATTTGAAAGGCAGAGTTACAGAGAGGCAGAGAGAGAGCGAGGTCTTCCATCTGCTGGTTCACTCCCCAATTGGCTGCAATGGCTGGAGCTGGGCCGATCTGAAACCAGGAGCCAGGAGCTTCTTCCAGGTCTCCCGCGTGGGTGCAGGGGTTTAAGGACTTGGGCCATCTTCCACTGCTTCCCCAGGCCATAGCAGAGAACTGGATTGGAAGTGGAGCAGCTGGGACTCGAACCTTTGCCCATATGGGATACTGGCACTGAAGGTGGTACCTGCTACGCCACAGCGCCGACCCAAGTACACTTTCTTATAACCAACATTTTCAGGGTGCATTTGTCCTGTAAATTAACTCTGGGCAAGCCCAAATCAAAGCCCATCATGTTTATGTTTCAAAGTCTCAGCATTCAAGCTTTTTGCATACAATACCCTATTTATGAAATAGAACTGGAAACTACTCCCCCCCCCCCCCCCGCCATCTCTCAGTGGCTTTGAGGAAGGAGTCATGTACATGTAATTCTATGTGGATAAACTTCTACTAGAAAGTGAAAAACAAAACTCTTCTCTCTCTCTCCTTGGAGTCTACTCTCAGCAATATCTCTGGCCACCAACATATGCAGAAGTTAGTGCTTTGGGGGTTGTTCCATCCTCCTTTTTAAGCATCCAGGTGTAGCTTAGAAGATCCTCTCTGTGTAAGGCGTGTCAAGGCATCCAACACCTGTACTGAGATATCACCTGTTTTGTGGTCATTTCCTTTGTTTCATTCTAACATCAACTGTCACCCCAAACTGTCCCTGATATCGTTGAATGGGAAGTTTTGACCTGATTGATTTAAGACCTCTTTGAAAGTTATGCTGTGCTTCAGAACACATCAGTGAGCTTGTTCTAAAAATCAAATATCCCTGGAGTGGGCAGATCCCAATAGAAGCATCTTCACAGAAATTAATATGTGTTCATAAAAATACAGGAAACTCTGCAGGGAACTTCCGGAGAACATGCAATTATTTTAATTAAACTGCAACTCTTGACAGTCTTGCCTTGCTTCAAGATTCCTGGGAGACCAGGATACTATGACAGCATTTTGCATGGAGTCTGGAATGCTGGATTCTGTCTGTGATGTCATCTCTCTCTAGAACAGGTGAGACTGCATCACCCAAGAGCTGGCGAAGGGACATTTCTACAGTGTATGAAGATAGCCATCTAATGCAGAAAGGGGCTATTATGTACATTCCCTCCTGAAATTTTGTATTTTTCTTCCTTTCTCACATGAGAGTAGATCAATGGCAAGCAAAAAGCGAGAAGTTCAGTTACAGGTAGGTATGACACAGCCCAATTCTGTCTCTAGTGCTGGGCACTTGATGCCTTTGACGGTTCCTCTGGTTTTACAGGTAGTCATCAATAGTCAGAGCCTGTGGGATGAGATGCTACAGAACAAAGGATTGACAGGTACTGGGACTCCCTTACTGTCTGGCTTTTGGGGTTTGGTCCAGATACCTCCATGCCCCCTGTGCAGGGTGCTGCTCCGCAAATCCTGCCCTTTGCCTTGGCCCCCACTCCACCATTGGCATAAGTTGCTATTGTAGATGACTTGACTTTGTTATTGCATAAATTTCCATCTTCTAGTGATCGATGTTTACCAAGCCTGGTGTGGACCTTGCAAAGCAATGCAAACATTGTTCCGAAAATTGAAAAATGAACTGAATGAAGAGGAAATTCTGCACTTTGTTGTTGTAAGGGCTTCATTTTCATTAAATGATTGGTTCTTTGTTATTATTAATATGTTATTACATTATTATTGCCTGTTATGTTATTACATTATTATTGCCTGTTTCAGTCTCCTTTTAATTAAAAATGTTACTTATTTTATTTATTTTCATGTTATTTGAAAAGCAGAAAGACAGAGATAGAGAGATACAGAGAGCTATTTTATCTGTCTGTTCACTGCTCAAATGCCTGAAACAGCTGGGCATGTGCCAAGACAAAGTTGGGAACCACAGACTCAATTCATTTCACTCAGGTGGGTAGCAGGGACATAATTATCTGAGCTGTCACCTGCTGTCTCGGGGGTTGTGTGTTAGCAGCAAACTGGATGCAAAAGTAGAGGGAATGGGGCTTGAACCAGGGCAGTTCAGTAAGGGATCTGGGCACTGTATTTGGTGGATTAACCACTACAGCAAATGCCCAGCCCTCTTTTTAGGCTTAAATGTGGCTACAGAGAAGTTGCAAGCATGTATGTACCTCATAATATATTTTTGTTGGACAGAAACACACTCAAATCAACTAGACCTGAGATGCAAAAGCAGACACCGATTTACATATCTTCATTCTTTGTCTATGAAACACTGTGTCTACTGCAATCTACAACTCAACCCATTGCACATTCTCCTGGGTTCACGCCTTCCATGGCGCCTCTCAACCCCGACTTCGAAATGAGTTTTCTTATTGACCTTAACTTATATTTCACCATCCATTCCCTTCTGCAGGCAATCTATAGACTGTCTTTTCCTCAATTTAAGGCAATAATAAGCAATCTAAATTAAGAAACTCTCTTACTGCATTTCTCTTCAAGAGAATAAGTGGCTATCCAACCCTTAAATCCTTAAGTCCTAAGTGCAGGAATTGACTGTTATCTTTTGAAACAAGTGCCATGTAGCTTTTTTTTTTATTAAAAATTTCCTTTATATAGATGTATTTTTGGAACACTTTGGGGTTCACAGCAAAATTGAGTATAGAATTGAGCAAAGAATATCTACATACCTCTACCCCCACATACCTAGAGGCTGCTCCACTATCAAACTCCCACAGAAGAATCGATGGAACTATACTGGCACATCACTATTCCCCAAAGCCCAACATTTACATTAGGGTTTATTTTTAGTACTGTACATTCTGTGTTAATAAAGGTATAATATCACGCATCACCATCATTCAGAGTAGTTTCACTACCCTAAAATTCCCGTGTTTTGCCTGTTCATCCCTCTCGCCACTCACCTAACCTTTGGCGCCCATGAACTTTTTGCTATATCAATAGTTTTTTTTTTTCTATACTATTATAAAGTTGGAATCATACAGCATGTAGCCTTTTCAAATTGACTTTCTTCCACTTAATAATAATATGCATTTAATTTTTTCTTACATGTATTTTCTTTTCTTTTCTTTTTTTTTTTTTTTTTTTTTTGACAGGCAGAGTGGACAGTGAGAGAGAGAGAGAGAAAGGTCTTTCTTTGCCGTTGGTTCACCCTCCAATGGCCGCCGTGGCCGGCGTGCTGCGGCCAGCACACCACGCTGATCCGATGGCAGGAGCCAGGTGCTTATCCTGGTTTCCCATGGGGTGCAGGGCCCAAGCACTTGGGCCATCCTCCACTGCACTCCCGGGCCACAGCAGAGAGCTGGCCTGGAAGAGGGGCAACCGGGACAGAATCTGGCGCCCCAACCGGGACTAGAACCCGATGTGCTGGTGCCGCAGGCAGAGAATTAGCCTATTGAGCCACTGCGCCGGCCTTCATATATTTTCATTATCTGATAGTTCAGTTCTTTTCAGAACTGAATAATATTCCATTGTCTGTATGTACTACAGTTTATTCACCTACTAAAGAACATCTTGGCTACTTCCAAATTTTGATCAATTTGAACAGAGCTATTAAAAGCATCTGTCCACAGGTTTTTGTGTGGATCTATTTTGGTAAATGCCAAGGAGGCTAATTACTGGATCACATGGTCACATTGTGTTTCATTCTCTAAGAGACTGTCAAACTGTCTTCCAAAGTACCTATCCCAGTTACATATCCATCACCGGCAAAGGTTCCTGTTGCTCCACATCCTTGCCAGCATTTGGTGTTGCCAGGGACCTAAACTTTGACCTTTTTAATTGCCGTGTAGTGGTGCCTCATTGTTGTTTTAAATTGCATTTATGTGTAATGTGCAGCATTTTTACATGTGCTTGTTTGCCATCTAAATATCTTTGGACTTTGTCTTTCGCAAAGATTTTCTCTTAGTGTGTACTTGTCTTTTCATTCTCTTGGCCTCAGAGTTTCTTAAGTACAAGATTCTGTAACTACTTGCTTCATTCTGCAGAATTGGAACCACCTGCAAGGAGATGGGAGGTGTTCCAGACTTCATTATTGGCAGGAAGGAAAAACCAAGTTTTAAAATAGGGCCTGGAGTAGATTGCCATGTGCACTTGGCAAGGAGCTGGTGTAAGAGGTTAAGAGCAATATCAGAAGTGTCCAACAGTTGACAGATAGATGGATCATGAAGAATCAAGGACCAGAGAATCCTTGTGAATCCTGATGGTTGGCATTAGAGAAGTTTGTCTGAAAGTGGTAGAAATACAAGTCCACAAGCTGGACTTACAGAAAGTCTAGGGTTTCAAGTCAATGGGGGAAAGACCAACAAAAGGAAGCTTTCCTGCTCACCTCACAGCCTACCTGGAAACTCAACTGTTAGGCTACCAGGGAGGAAACTTGGGCTTAGACAAGCAAAATAAGGGACCTCTTAGACAAGCAGGAGGTGAACTTGATGAGGTCTAAAATCATTAAATCCATCTTGTTTAGAAAGTCTTTGTGTGGGTTCCAGCACTTGTGGAAGGAGAATTGGCTCTGTAGTTTCTTGGACCCCATTTCAGCCCAGCTCAGAGCAGCTCTGAGAAGGGAGGACTGGCTAATAGTAGAGATGCATCATGATGACACAGGTCTTCACTGAGCTTTCCGAAGGACTCAGGCTATGTCCACCCAGCAGTAGCAGGCTGGGTACAATTCCTCGGCCTACTCCATGAGTGTGAGTCCCGTTCCTATGCTGATTTCACTGGGAAGTGATAGTAGGGTAGTCTTCCATGATACGCCACACTCACAACACTAGCATGTAGTCAATTTATCAGCAAAAAATCATGTACAGTCTTCCTGAAGTATTCCTCTTCTGTTCTGGCTTTACCCTCTCAACAATAGTACAATCATATAGATTGATGCTGTTTTTATGATATGATCTGCCTATAAAAAGTGAAAAAAGAAAATCATGCCTGAATGTTCATTGTGAGCAACAACTGATGGGTGCCCTCTGCTGGAAATCTTGTTTTCCACCATTAATTAAGGAAAAGGTTACTTTCCTGAACTTTGAAGTCTAAAATTAAAATCTATGAGACTGATAACATTAAAATTACCCTGACTTGATCAGAACAAGTTTGTCAGCTAATTTATGCCTTTTTAACTGGCTCAATGCACATATATGTGAATTCTGTTAGGATGTGTTTATGTGTGTGTGTGTGCCTGGGTTGTGGCACAGTTCGTTAAGCTGCCACGTGTGAGGCTGACATCTCCTATCAGAGACCTGGCCGCTCCACTTCTGCTCCAGCTCTCAGAATTCATGCACTGAAACCTTAATCTCTCTGTGATCGTTTGGAGGTGAGGCTCTGGAAGCTCATTAGGATAAGATCAACGCCCTCACAGGGTAAAGGAGAGACGCGCTCTCTTCTGAGTGAGGACCTCACCAGGAAGAACTGAATTATGCTGACTCTCTCCTCTCAGACTTCAGCCTCCAAGACCTGTGAGACATAAATGCTCATTTTTTTTTTGTTGACAGGCAGAGTGGACAGTGAGAGAGAGAGACAGAGAGAAAGGTCTAAATGCTCATTGTTAAGGCACAGACTAAGACACAAACTTAGGGAAGCCCCTCCTGATCCACCTCATTCTGATAGCTGGACCCAGAGATAGTACAAGTATGTTAATATGGAGCGGATGCTACAAGTATAGGGTTTTTGTTAAAGATTTATTTATTTATTTGAAAGGCAGAGTTACTCAGAGACAGAGAGAGAGAGAGAGAGAGAGAGGAGAGAGAGAGCTCTTTTATCTGCTGGTTCACTCCCCAGATGGCTGCAATGGCTAGAGCTGGGCCAATCCTAAGCCAAGAGCCAGGAGCTTCTTCTGGGTCTCCCAGGCAGCTACAGGAATCCCAAGCACTTGGGCCATCTTCTACTGCTTTCCCCAGCCATAGCAGAGAGCTGAATTGGAAGTGGAGCAGCCAGGACTCAAACTGGCACCCATATGGGATGCTGGCACTGCAGGTGGCTGCTTTACCTGCTATGCCACAGCGCCAGTCCCTCAAGTATAGTTCTTTACAGTCAGTTTAGGACAACTTGAAATTTATATGGAAAATTAAAGCATAAGAATCAAATACATTAAGATGTGATTGCCAGGGTAGCGTTGTAGCACAGCGAGTTAAGCCACAGCATGCAATGCCCACATACCATGTCAGAATCCTGGTTCAAATCCTGGCTACCCTGGTTCTGATCCAAATCTCTGCTAATGTGCCTGAGAAGGCAGTGGAAGACAACTCAAGCACTAGGGCTCCACACCCATGTGGGAGACCAGGATGGAGTTCCTAGCTCCTGATTTCAGCCTGGCTCAGACCTGTCTGTTGTGGCCATTTGGGGAATGAACCAGCAAAAGGAAAATTTCCATCTCTCTCTCTCTCTCTCTCTCTCTCTCTCTCTCTGTTACTCTGCCTTTCAAATAAATAAATAGATAGATATTTTTAAAAATAAGATGTGACTTCTGGCTCATTTAGTAAGCTCATTTTTGCACATGGCCCGTTAGCTGACACCTAGGGAGGGCTGAGACACAAAGGCAAATACGCACCCTACCCCGTCTTAGCACACAGCTCTCCTCCTAGCAAAGCAAGGCAGCCCCGTGTCTGCCTGTGGCACAACAATAGATGTCCTGAGGGGGGTGGAATTCTGTGTAGAGCAAGAAAGGATGTTTAGCAGAAAGGAGTGAGACAGGCTCCTTGGAGGGAGGGGGCTTGAGCTCACTGGGAAAAGGAAAGGCAAGAGCAGCCAATGAGGGAGGAAGACACAATTAGAAGAGTCTAGCTGGATGGAGGTTGGATGCCACAAAGGGGAACAGTAAGAGGTAAGGTTGAGGGCAAATGACGCATGGCTTGATTTGCCAGTTTGTGCAGTTTGATCCTTGAAAAAGTGCAACACACCCAGAAAACACTGCAATAAAGATTAAAAATAAAAATGCATGCATCTCTGTATTGTTTGAACATAGTGTACCAAAAGACTTAGGTATACTTTCCTTTATTACTGTATGAAATATTTATATATTTTTTTCAGGCAGAAGCTGACAGCATTGCGACTTTGCAGCCATTTAGAGATAAATGTGAACCTGTTTTTCTCTTTAGTCTTGTAAGTATAATATTTATCATCTCAATTGTGTTATCTGATTCCAATTTGCAGTTAAAGAGCAAGTAGCACTGTAAAATTGCCATGGGCTGTATGCGATGATAGTAATTGCACATTGTTTGTGCTATCATTGCTTGTCTAATAATATATTTTATAATTTGACTTCTAGGAGCCTGTAATGAGTTGAGGAGTTGATCAGAGAAAAGAAAAATAGAATGGTGTTTACCTTTACTAAGGAACTCATCAGAGATTTGCACAATGAGTTATTTAAATGAGTGAAAAAATTGGACATTTCTAAGATACCTACCAGGAGAGAATTGTTTATAAATATTCATGTGTATCCATGCAAGAAACCGTCTCTAGGATCACTATTTGGAAGTCCATATTACTTTTATCTCTGTATCTGCAGATGCATAGAAAGAAGGCAGGGAGTGTAGTCACCAAAATGCTATAATCACTTTCTCTTTATGGACGAAGGATGAGTATTTTTCTTCTTTTCTATATTTTGTAAATATTCTGGAAATATTGCAGTAATAATAAAAGCATAGTAAGTGCTATATTCTAAAAGAAAACATACAGTTAAGTATCCTATATGACACTGTGTGACACACGGGGAGAGAACTGGAAATTGGGATGGTAAAGAAAGGTTACCCAGAGGAGCTGGTTTTGCCTCCTTCTCCTTCCCTTCATCCCTCCCACTCCCTCCTCCCCCTCCTTCTTCCCCTTTCACTCCCCGCCTGTCTTCCTCTCTTTCTCCATTTCCTTCTCCTTCCTTTTCCTCTTTTTCTACTTTTTTATTTGACGATAGAAAGGCAGAAAGAGACAGAGATAGAGAGATCCCATATAATTTACTGTTTTAATTTCCAAATGCCTGCAATGGCCAAGACTGGGCCAGGCCAAAGCCAAGAGCCAGGAGCTCAGTCAATGAGTGGCAGGACACAATTACTGGAGCCATAATCCTTACTCCCCAGGGTCTGGGCATTAGGAGGAAGCCAGAGTCAGGACCCAGAGCCAGGAATCAAACCAGTGCACTCTGATATGGAACACAAGCATCTTCACCACTAAGCTAAATGCCTACCTCCAATGATGGATACATCTTATTGTCACTTTTGATATCAGAAATAATTATTTAAAGAACATTTCTTTAGAACTTTTTGCTTCTGTAGACAATATTCCTGCAAGCATTTCAAGGAAATGAATTACTGAGTTAACTGAATGAAAAAAGTTGATTGTAGATTTTTGCTCTTAGTTAGATATGCAAAGTTTGATGATTTAGGAGAAGAGTGATTGATGATGTGTAGGACTTGATGATTTACATGAGGAATCAGCCAACAATTTCCGTAAAGGATCAGACAGTGACTACTTTCTGCACCGTTGAAAAATAGTCTCCGTAATGTGTCATAATTTGCTGACTTCTGGCTTAGTGATAGCTTATGGAACCAGAATGAGTATGCACAGAAGCACAAATGGGCTTGATCCCAGAAGCAGGTGTCATGGAGCCACGGGCCAAGGGATGAGATTGAGCAGGTGCACTACCACGTAGAGTCAGGAGCTCTGGAGTGGCCATCACCCTGCCATCTGAGTCAGGTCCAGCCTCAGACCCAAGCCCTGATCTCTAATCCCTAAGATCAATGCCCGAAGAATAAACCCAGTCATGTCCTTTTCTTGATTTAGCTCCCCAATGATCTTCCCAACTCCCAAACTTTGTGTGACATCTGGAATCAATACAGAAAATTTCCCAAGTGTTGGACTGTGTCTCTGGACTTTTACTCCTCTTCCTTGACTTTCCTTAAATCTGGCTCCTTCCTTGAGACGTTTTCGCTGCAGCCCACAGGCAATGATTGTTTTACAGAGACAGGAAGAATGGGTTGCCAGTGCACTTGGTAAAGTGATAAGTATAAATACACAACCGATCAAAAAGATAGGGTAAGTGTCGAAGAGATTTCACAAACAAGATCAGTGTAAGCAAACAATGAAGGATAGAATTAAAAGGGAGAGTATGATCCTGCGGGGGAAGCAGGACACACAGCAGACTCATAGAATGGCAAATGCCCAAAACAGCACTCCTGCCTCAGAATCAACCCTTGGGACATTCGGATCTGGCTAAAAGGTCCATGAGAGTCTCACAGGCATGGGAAGCCATGACACGGTGGCAAAAAACAATCTAAATGAAAGATCCTGGTGAACAAGACCCCAGCAGAAGGAACAGGCCATCAAGGAGGGAGGCGCCTTTCTCTGAAGGGAGAAAGGAACCTCCACTGTGATATGGCCTTGACTAAACAAGTTCAGAGTTGGTGAACTCAAGGGGCTTCCATAGCCTAGACAGCTCATAGCAAGAGTCTCAGGTGATTGCTGATGTCATAAATAAGAGTGCCAATTGTTAAATCAACAACAGGAGTCACTGGGTACATGCTCCCCACGTAGGATCTCTGTCCTTAATGTGTTTTACTATGAAACTTAAAAACAACACTACTAGTCGAACAATGCCCTATACCTTGTGCGGTTGTGTGAGTGCAGCCTGTTGAAATCCTTGCTTGGTGTATACTAAGTTGATCTTCTGTTTATGAAGGTGATTGAAAATGAAACTCGATGAAGGGCAGGATGGGAGAGGGAGTGGGAGAGGGGAGGGCTGCGGGAGGGAGGGAGGTTGGGGGGGAGCCACAACAATACAAAAGTTGCACTTTGTAAATTCACATTTATTAAATAAAAAAAAAAGAACTTATGGGAGGCAAAAGCCATTGTAATTCATAAACTGTACTTTGGAAATTTATATTTATTAAATAAAAGTTTTTAAAAAAAGAATTGGTTTTCCCTTATTTCCCCTCACATATTCAACAACTTTCTTTCCCTTGCTTATTAGAAGTCTGTTTTGTTGGGCTAAATCTCCTTCCCTCCCACTTTACTCCTGTCCTTTACTAACCTTCCAATCAGCCCCATTTATTACTTGGCTCAAAATCTTACTCTCAAGCCCAAGTCGTACCATCACGCCAGTGACATCAGACTGTACATTAGCAACACAACCAATAACCTTGACCTCCTTACTGCCAATGAAGTTTGTTTCCAATAGAGCTCTTCTAATCACTTGTAAAAATGCCTCAGACATTTTTATCATCCATGGCTCCACAACCACAGTAATTACCTAAGAATCTCACTTTCTGACCTCGCAAACACCATCTTGCCTCTTTGCTTCCTTCTTCAGATAATCCCACAACAACCTCTTGCATTCATCCCAGCAAGTTTTGCAGGAGGGAATGACAGAACACTCAAAGAATTATTGAAATATTTTTTCAGAGGGAAATGATAATTACAGTCTCAGGTTTCATTTAAACCTTTCTCAGTTGGATCCTTCTCATTGGCCTTTGAATTTGAGTGAAACTTTTCAATTGAAAAAAATAAGACTTCTTTTTTTTTTTTTGATACTATACTTCTGCCCCACCACCACACATGTCTCTTCTTTACTTCTCAGCTAATAACTCATAAGAGTTTCTGTATTTATTTTTTCTCCATTTCTTCCCATTCCATCAAATGCTCAATCTACTGGATCTGGCCTATGTTTGATCATTGCATCAAAATTGCTGTAGCTAATTGATTCAACACCAGATTGTTACTAAATATAAGATGCTTTTACACCTTTATCATTCTGTACTTCTCTAATGCATTGAATCCGAAGACCATGTTCTCTTGTTTGAAATGTCTGCTTCTTTTGGCCTCTATGATTTGGTTTTCTTTTCACCTTCCTAGATACTACTGTTCTCTATCTCTTCTTCTAGAGTCATTTTTCTTTATTCAGCCATTAAATATTGACCTTATCAAACCATCTGCTCTCCTTAGAAAATTTCTTCCATGTGCACTTTGAATTATCGCCACCTATAGATCAAAAATTTGAATTTACATCTACATTGAAGTCCTGTACTTTGAACTCCAGACTTATATATCCAACTGGTTTGACATCTCCTCTTGTTCTAATCAAAGGCATCTCATAACAAACTCATCCAATACCAGACCCTCCTCCCAATTAAACATGGTCTTCCTCTAGTGTCTTCATTTGGTGAATAGCATCATAATTCATAATGTAGCTAGTTTTCAAGCAAAAGAGTCATCTTAATGATGACATCACACCCAACCCAAATCATATCTCGGCTCTGTCAACTTCACCATCCAGGTCTCTCTCACCCTTATCTCCTTCTTCCCAACACCACCACCACTGCTATAGACTGAGGGGCTGTTGCCTCTCTTCTTCACCTCTGGAGTCGCTCCTAACTTGAATACCAACATCTCTTCCTCTGCCTCTAAACTTTTCTCCTCGCAGTTGTGAAATGATCCTTACAAACCACGTTTTTTATCATGCTTAGAGCTGACTATACTTAGGACAAATTCTATATCTTTCCATGGCCCTCAAAGTTCTATAAACTCTTCATCCCTCTAAGTGGTGGGCTTCAAGTCATGCTAGGCTTCCCTCACTTTTGCAGCCTGCCTCTTTGCTTGCCCTACTCCCTTTCATACTTAACACCTCTGCATCTGCTATTCCTTTAGCCTAGAATGCCATTTTTATACATTTCAAAAATATATTTATTTTATTAGGAGAAAGAGTGAGAGACATCTCTTCGACCGGTTCACTTCTCAAATGCCTGGGAGCTAAGAACTCAATCCGAGTCTCCCACATGATTGGCAGGGACTCAAGTACTTAGGCCATCATTACTATCTCTGAAGTGTGCATTAGCAGGAAGTTGGAATCAGAACCAGAGCTAGGGTTTGGTACTCGACACTCTAATATGGAATGTGGGTGCCCCAGGCAGAAGCTCAGCTATTGTGCTGAACACCCACATCTAGAATGTCCTTCCTCCTTCTTTTGGCTTAGTATCTCTGACCCCATCCTTCACATTTTAAACTGAGATTCATTTCCTGACTTTTAGAAGTACCTTGTCTGATTTCCTTGACCAGGACACATTCTTACAGTTGTTCTGAGTGCTTTGTACCTCCTTCGATGGCACCTCTCATGGTTGTTATTCCACATGTGTTGTTATTTTTGTGGGATTTTATTTTTTTGTAATTTAATTAGGTCAGGTACAAATTACTGTTATGCCTCTCTGGGACAGTGCCAATGAACAGATAATTAGTAAATATGTGTTGACAAATAGACAAAAGGGATACAAGGTCTGTAGTAACTAGGGAGCAAAATGTTAGAAGACCTACCCAGAGCTTTCCAGTTGAAAGCAGAGAAGCCTTGGGAGGGATTGCCTGCAAGTGCTCCTACAGGGCAACGGCTTGTTTCTGCAGGTGCTGGAGGATGCTGTGTGCCTTTAGTTGTAGGAAGATAGACAAATTAGTGGTAGAACTCACAGAGCTGGGTTTACCAAATCAACACACTTTCACATCAATAACTACTTTAAAACGTTAAAGTGAATTGATGGGGATGGGGACCAAGAATGGCTGACTTAGTCCAGATTAAGTGCTAATTCTTAACTTATTCTGAAAATGTCTTTCATGTTTTCTTTCCCTTTTTAGTATGGAAAAATAATTGCAAAAATTCAAGGTGCGAATGCACCACTTGTTAGCAAAAAAATTATTAACTTGATCAATGATGAGAGGAAAATTGCAGCAGGTGAAATGGCTCGCCCTCAGGTAATAGTTTGGATTAGTAACTACTTTGAAGCTTTAAAGAAATTACTTTTTTGTTTGTTGTCTCTGTAAACATTTTTCTAACTTTATAACTGTCTAGGTTTCTAAAGGGTGCAACGTTTCTGGGAAGATTGGCAATGTGAATCAAAGGAATATATATAAAAAAAATTTTTAAAGGCATATATATGTGTGTATACATATATCTATATATCCATCTCTCTCTATATATATATCTTTGACTTGACGATTATCCTTCATCAATTTACCCAAAGAAAATGAGGCAAAGATAGAAAAGGAAGTTTATTACTGTGTTGTCCATAGTATTAAAAATATGAAATCAGGAGCTGGCATTTTGGCAAAGCAGGATAAAGTCACTGTCTGCGATGGCAGCATCCCATATGGATGCCAATTCGTGTCCCAGCTGCTCCACTTTCAATCTAGCTCCCTGCTAAAGGCCTAGGAAAAAGCAGTGGAAGATGATCCAATTACTTGGGCCCCTACCACCTGTGAGGGAGGCCCAAAAGAAACTCCTGGACTCTTGGCTTTGGCCTGGTCCAGCCATGGCTTTAGCAGCCCTCTGGGTAGTGAACCAAAAGATGGAAGATCTTTCTCTCTCTCCCTCTCTCTATATAACTGACTTTCAAATAAATAAATATGAAATCAACCTAAATACCTCACAACAGTGACTAGAATACATAAAGTGTGTATAACTATGAATCCATACAATGATGGAATATTTAATGTGTTCTTGTTCGATTAAAATGAAAAGAAGACCAGGAGAGATTGATGAATTTTAAGAGTACATAGCATAACTATGGTTCGATGGTATGTGAGTGTGTAAAGTACATTTTCTGCTTAATGTTTCTATCAACTTTGTAGTAAGAAGTAAAGCTATTTAAAATTAAGGAGCCGGCGCCGCGGCTCACTAGGCTAATCCTCCGCCTTGCGGCACTGGCACCCCGGGTTCTAGTCCCGGTCGGGGCCCCAGATTCTGCCCCAGTTGCCCCTCTTCCAGGCCAGCTCTCTGCTATGGCTCGGGAAGGCAGTGGAGGATGGCCCAAGTGCTTGGGCCCGCACCCCATGGGAGACCAGGAGAAGCACCTGGCTCCTGCCTTCGGATCAGCGCAGTGCACCAGCCTCAGCGCGCCGGCCGCAGTGGCCATTGGAGGGTGAACCAACGGCAAAAGGAAGACCTTTCTCTCTGTCTCTCTCTCTCACTGTCCACTCTGCCTGTCAAAAAAAAAAAAAAATTAAGGAATGAGGGGCCGGTGCTGTGGCGCAGCAGATTAAAGCTGTGGCCTGAAGCATGGCATTCAGTATGGGCGCCGGTCCAAGTCCCAGCCGTTCCACTCCTGATCCAGCTCTCTGTTATGGTCCGGGAAAACAATAAAAGATGGCCCAAGCCCTTGGGCTCCAGCATCTGCATAGGAGACCTGGAGGAAACTCCAAGCTCCTGGTTTTGTATCAGCGCAGCTCTGGCTGTTAAAGCCATCTGGAGAGTGAACCAGCATGTAGAAGAGCTCTCTCTGTCTCTACCTCTATCTGTAACTCTGCCTTTCAAATAAATACAATAAATCTTTTAAAATTTAAGGAATGAATCATAAAGCACATGGAAGTATGGACACAGTAGCATAAGATAGCACCTCACATAGGAAAGTGATCCAAAATATAGATGGAAAAACAGGAGAAACTGATATGATTGAGAGAGAGAGAGAGAGAGAGAGAGAGAGAGAATTAAACAAAAACCATGGGAAACTAACCAAGAAATATTACAAGATAGAACAAATGAGACATGTATAGACTCAGACTAGTATAAGTACTTGTTATGAGGAAGTATCAGTTCACTATCAAACCAAAACATAATCATGTTTTCCTTGCATTTCTCTTTCAATAGTATCATGAAATTCTACTCATAGACTCAGATACAGAAGAGGTCAGACAAGTTCACGCTGAAACTGTTGGTAAGTAAATTTGCTCTAAAGGAATGGCAAAGATTTTTCTCTACATGGGTGTTCCTTACAGCCTCACTTGAAGCTACAAAAAGCAGTAACAATCTCAATGCTGATCAATGAGGGACTGTTCAGATAAATAATGATGCCTGTCTTGCAAGACCCAGTGACTAAAAGGCACTCTTCGTCTGCTCTCTTTGCCTTATCCCTTGGTCTCTGCACCCCGAGCCTTTCACGTTTTAACCAGGACCCTGCATTGCTGTGTCCTGCAAATAATTTGAACAGCAGCTTCCTATCTCACCTTTTGTCATCTGCCAAACACGTGTGAAAATGACTTCTTCCTTAATGACAATGCTTTGTGGTTTACTTGCCCATTAACAGTCCCATGCTCTCACTGGATTACCTATGTGTGTATGCACATGTATGCATTTGTGTGTGTGTTCATTCTTTGGAGGGAGTGAAGTCAAACAGCCACACTCAGTGAGCTACCTTGCCCCCAAAGCCATGATAAGAATGAAGATAAATTCATAGATGGTAAATCTGTCCATCTGTATTGTTGAGTTGCATAATGCACAACGGAAACTCCATTGTGGGTGCTCCTAAGCTGCGTGGATCATGAGTAATTCTAACGCACGTGAATTTCATTCCAATCTCCAGTGCCTACCTGCTGAACGTCTTTGCTTCTTGTGAATTCCTCCCCTGAATGCAGCTATAGGAACTGCACTTTGGCTCTAAGTGGAAGGTCTTTCAGAGTTGAAATGTCTTAGTAAAATAAAGTTATCAATAGACAAAAACTCACTGGGTATTAAGAATTTACATTTATAATTGCAGCACCTTTCATTATTCAGACTTGGTGCCAGGAACATGAAATCTTTTTTTTTTTAACCTAGAGGATCTATACAGTATTGTTATTATCAAACCTGATGGCGTGATTAGTAGAAAAGCTTTACAAATTAAAGAAACAGTGAGTACTATTTCCCAACAATAATTTAAATTAATTGCAAAATAACAGCTCTTTGACTGCCAACTTGGGGACAAGCTTAACACTTAGAGAAAAATAGAAAATAATGAACTTCTAAAGACTTTAAGCGTTTCATGTCTTCACAAGGGCTCTGTATACTAATGCATAATTCTTTAAATGATCTTGATGTACCAGCACGCTACATAAATTGCAAAACTTATAGTTTGTATATTGGATTGCAATTTTTCTTGTTCAATTATTAGCAATGTAATCTTGTTACAAATTCACATTAACTTATTTTATTTCCAATGTGTTACAAATATATGGTCCCTTTTTGACACATGACAGCTTAAGGAAATATTTAATGTTTTAGTTTAGAGCCAAAATTAAGCTTTTGCATGAAGAAAGCTACAATCTAATTCAGAGATGAGATCATGCATTTCCTATAGAAGTCAAATAACTACATTTAAGTTTTCTCTGGGCATGGTTTCTGATAACTACAATCATGTAGTGCATAACAGCGTCTCAGTCAATCATGGTCAGTCTGTATGAAGATGGTTCCATAGGATTGCAATGAAACTGCAAATTTCCTGTTGCCTAGTGACATAGTAATCATCCTAATGTCTCAGCACAACACATTAACAGTGTTTTTGTGTGAAAACAAAGCTACTACACATCCAATCTTATGTAAGTCTAGACATACAATCATGTACAGTATACAGTAACTGATAATGATAATAAATGACTATGTTACTGGTATATGTATTGACTATCCTGTAAGAGTGTACCCTTTCAGCTTATTAAAAATTCTGACTGTAAGACAATATGCTTATGAAGTGGCCTCCTACATCTTGTGTTAACAGTGGCTCTTGATTGCATTAAGAGATCACATGAAATGACTGATGTTTTCAACCCAGCTTTCTTTGAGTATGTCCACACAAGGATGAAGTCACCCATGAGGCACTTCTCAGAATACTCTTGATAAGCCTTGCATGACTACTTATCTCTATCTCATGTCAAGGCAGTAGCAACAAACAATATGTGAATGAATGTTCACGACTTTGTTGCAATAAACTATTTACAAAAGAGGTGACGTGCAGATTGTTGACTGCAGGCTATGTTCTGCTGACCCCTTTACAACACCTTTGTGTTGAAATAACAAAATTTTGTTGAAATTTGAAAGACTACTGCCTGTCCAGTACAAAGGATCACATGTGTGTGTGTGTGGTGGGGCGAGGGGGTACTGTGAGGAGGAGTTGGATACCTCCAGATGAGCTTCCAGCAAACCTTTAATCTTCAGCTGTAACTGAACATACAGGATATGGTCCTCAGATCAGGACACATATCCCGTCTCCTCTAATTACATGCTGATTTAATTGATATCACTCTATAAGCCTAGACTTTTTTCCCAGACCTCAGTGTATCTAGGCTGGAGGGTTACATCAAACTCTACCCCATTCCCTTATATACTGCTTATACTTAAAAAAATCCTTCAAAAATAGTATCCCATACAATGGTTTACTTTTCATTGTGATGCTATGTTCATAGCCAACAATGGTGAACGTTTTCAACATCACATAAGTCTAGTTGTAGCAATACTATTAATCATTTGTTCGTGTTAACTTCTTGTTGTTCTGGCATAATAAGTAACGTTTCAGAGATATAATTGATAACACTAAATATGTCATTTCTCTAGATAACAGTAAAAAGCTACATACTGGAACAGAAAAAATACAGAAAGTTTCAAACAAAAATAAAATAAACCTATCACATTTAAAAAAAATCCATAGTGAAGAGGAAGTTATCAAATATAAATGTTGTTTGGACTCCATTTGCTCTTGCTAGGCACTACATGGCAAAGACATGACTTAGGTTTTTAGTTGTTCCTATTAAAGTATGAGTCAGCAAAGGGCTCACTAAGATGTAAGCAGTCTCTGAAATATTGGCAAGGACTATGAAGCTGATGGAGGTTTTGTTTTCCTAACAGAAGCAGAATGCACCTGTTACTGGATAACCCCAAATGAAATTGAGGTCACATTATTGGTGTTGAATAATGCATTTATTGAGTTGCTCTGAACCCAATGAATCCACTTTTGTGTGATTGCCTAGTTCCTTGTTGAGTTTATTCTATTTGCATAAAAATTTCTCTGTTACATCTTGTTACACTAAATTTTGGTGTTAAGTTTCCTTTAAAATAAGTAAAGCACAGTTAATTCTTAAGCTGCATCCCTCCTAATCACTTTCACACTTTTTTGTTATAATAGTAAGTTATTTTAGACTCTGAGTTATAGTCCTCTCAAAGTGAATCCTAAAACAGTAGAAAGTTAAGACAGTTTTGAAAAAAATGGGTAAGAAGTATATGTAAATTTATGTTTTATCAACAATTCAGAAAAAATGATGCATTTTACTTGTAATTTAGTTTTTGCACATTTTGAGGCAATCCACTTTTTTTTTTTTTTTTATTGTTTTGACAGGCAGAGTGGACAGTGAGAGAGAGAGACAGAGAGAAAGGTCTTCCTTTGCCGTTGGTTCACCCTCCAATGGCCGCCGCGGCTGGCGCGCTGCGGCCGGCGCACCGCACTGATCCGATGGCAGGAGCCAGGAACAAGGTGCTTTTCCTGGTCTCCCATGGGGTGCAGGGCCCAAGCACCTGGGCCATCCTCCACCGCACTCCCTGGCCACAGCAGAGAGCTGGCCTGGAAGAGGGGCAACCGGGACAGAATCTGGCGCCCCGACCGGGACTAGAACCCGGTGTGCCGGCGCCGCAAGGCGGAGGATTAGCCTAGTGAGCCGCGGCGCCGGCCGAGGCAATCCACTTTAATACAAACATTTTGAAGTCTCTGGTTCAAGCTTTGAAAACTGAAATATTGAGAGGACATGAAAAGAGCCATCTTCGTTTATAATTTTTAAGTGGCTTCAGACCTGGGTTTTATGGGTTTTGCTGAGGTCCTTGCATGAAATGCATTCAAAGTTGTTTGTTTTCTTGAGCCCAGGAAACAAACAAATATATCTTTACCTTGTTTTACATGTGATCCCATGAAACATCCGGATCTGACCTTCCTCTGTAATCGAAGATTACCAATGCCGGATTCGTCATAGAAGCACAGGATAAGACTGTACTCACTGAAGAACAAGTTAGAAACTTTTATAGTCAAATGGCAAGTCAGGTAAGAAAATTAAAAACAAAAAAATCAAAGCCACTGTGTGTTCAAACACAATGACTCCTCTAAGCTTTAGATTTTCATTGTAGAAAAGCAAATGGGTAAATCTACTAAGTCAGCCCCAGGTGTCTTTCTGGGTGTCCATATCGTAGTAGTGACCGCAAGTCCAAGGATGCCTGGTAGAAACTCTGGGTGGTAACCAACACTGATTGTGTTGACTCTGATTGTGTTTTGTCTGCGGTAAGTCACATCCCCCAAGGTGCCCTGTAATAGTCCTCTGAAAGTGAACGTCCTGTCATTTGCTGCATTTGTTTTTTAATCCTGGGCTCTAGGCTCATCAGCTTCACAGAAAGCTTTAACCCTTTCTTTATCAAAGACTTTTTTCTCAGGCTATCAGCATTATTATTCTCTCTCACCTGGAGAAATATAATAAAGTCAGCACTGTGAAGTCTGGAAATGGAGTTTCTAGAAATGTACTATCCAATATGGCAGCCACTAGATACGTGTGACATTTTGAATATAAATCCTTTAAAATGAAATAATGTGAAAAATTCAGAATCGTGGTTGTACTAGCCATACTTTAATTGTTCAATAGCCACATGTGGCTCCCAAGTTGGAGAGCATGGAAGAACATATTCATTGTCAGAGAAAGTTCCGCTGGGTGACACTTTCTAGAACTGTCTGCACCACTAGAACCGCCTCTTGAAGCCAGGCTCCACCCATGTAAAACAGAAGGGTTGGAGCACCGGAATCAGCATCCTCTGTGAACTTCTTGCAAAATCTGGTTCCCGGGCCCCACCCAAAAGCTACTGAGTCAGAGACTCTGGGGATAGGCTCCAGAAATGCGTGTTTTAGCCAACTCTCCTGACGACAGGGAGGTATCCTAATGTTTGGGGGCAGTTGTTAAACCCTCTTTAAGAACAGCGCCTGTTGGCTGTGAATTTCCATTGCTCAGAAATGTGTGTAACAAGAAATTTGTAAGGCGAACGGTCCCCTTTCCTGGTCACTTGATTTGGGAAGTGGTGGCCATTTGAACCCATCTCTTTCAGGAGCCTGAAGTGAACAGTTGATCATTTTATGTTGCAGCCTGACTTTGAAGAGTTTGTGTCTTTCATGACAAGTGGCCTTAGCTGGGTGCTGGCTGTATCTCAAGGAAGTGAACCACCTGTTTCCTGGGAAGAAAGTGAGCATCAGCCTGAGACTGAATTTAAAGACACATCTGAAAGTTCACCCAAGGCTGATGTGAAGTCCACAACTGCAGTGACAAAGAAGAAGCAGAACAGGTAGCTCAAGAGCGGGGATTTTATTATTTACAATGTGTTAATAAGTGACAGTGTCATGTCCGAGTATCTTAAAGCCCAAGCTCCCGTGTCTTTATTTCTTCCAGTCAACTTAAAATATTTTGTATGAGCGAACTTCAACAAGTTCATGGAAGATAAGTTTATTTTGGTGCAAAAGAACTTTGAAATTCATGCATGGTGTGTTCATAATACACATTTTCTGCAAATTTTTAATCTGACTTGCATGGATTTCAAAATTATCTTTGCACCAAAATAAACTTAGCTTTTGAGTCCCTTTTCTATGAAATTCTTGAAGTGCCCTGTCTGCTGTCACACACCCCCATGCTCCCCTTCTACCTTGGCTGTGCCTAAAGGTATCAAGCTTTCTCTTTCTTGAGGCTTTTTTGAGGACCAAACGGTTGTATAATTTTGTTAAGCAGTTTTTAATTATTTGAAAGTGAACAAAGTAATTTCTATAACGTTGGTTTTATGTGCTGTTATGTATTCCTTGGAAAATGCACAGAATCCATAGCTAAACACAGCAGTCTCCTGGGCTGTGCCTTAAAGAGAGTTGGATGAACAGAAATACCCATGACGATTTGAGTCCTGGGCTTCATGGCGTGTGTCTCCCTCTAGTGGGCAGCCCATGTCTATTTCATTTTCTGGATGGATTTTCATTTTATCTTTTTATTGAGCTGTAACAGCATTTCTTGAATAGCCATAGCTTTTCTTGAACAGATGTAGATCTGCTGGTTATAAGCAATCCCATACCTTCTAAAAGTATTAAAAAACAAAATGGATATCAGATTTTACACCAGAATTTTTGAGCCATTCCATTTTTTTTTTCTGTTAAACTGTCATTAACACAACTGGTATAAGAGAAGTCAGCATCCCATTGGTGTTATTGCCAAGTAATAATCTCCACTGTATCCAACTCTGAGATGTTTCATCATCAGTTGGTCAATCCTCATGTAACATGTTCAACTTAAGAATTTTAATTGACAGTTGAGATGGTGGTGGGGCATGAAGTCTTGTAAACCTTGATCTAGCAAAGCTTGATGAACTTGAAGATCCCATTTGCCCTTGACCTGTGATTATCTGGAGCAACGACCTCAAGCAGGCAACATGAGACGGTGCAGAGCATGCTTCCTGTTGCTTGCTGCCGATAGTACAGCTCTTCACCCAGAACAAGAACCAGCAGGGCGCTGTTACTTCCACATGGCACCTTTTAAGTAGATCAAGAACCTAGAGGATTAGGGGACAAAAAGTACTGTGAATAATTTACACATCAGCCCACTTTTACTCTTTATTGACACCTTCATGCCATCTCAGGGTCCCCTTCCCCTCCTTTCTGGGTGATAGGGATGGGGAGTGAGGAAGAAAGGAGGCCGGAAGCAGAGCGAGTAGGCAAGGGGTTCAAGGGGTTACTGGTGGCCCCTTCCGTGACCATGAGCAATGGCAGGGCAGCAGAGCCCAAGCTTTGTCAGGTTGGTGGTTCTGACAGAGTGAAGCACACTCCGTGAATCTGCATGGTGTGCCATAATGTTCTCCCTAACAGTGTCACACCTGTTCCAGAGGAGGGAGCAAGAGCCAGAAGAACGGGGAACAGACACCCACATGTCTCATTCTCGTTTTCTTCATGATGGTTTTACATCACATGATTTACATTATCTGTTTACATGTCTGCCTCCTTAATCAGCCTGTGTGTGAAGAAATCAAAGGATAGGGGCCGGCACTGTGGCACAGCGGGTTAAAGCCCTGGCCTGAAGCGCCGGCATCCCGTATGGGCGCCAGTTCTAGTCCCAGCTGCTCCTCTTCCGATCCAGCTCTCTGCTATGGCCTGGGATAGCAGTAGAAGATGGCCCAAGTCCTTGGGCCCCTGCACCCATGTGGGAGACCTGGAGGAAGCTCCTGGTTCCTGGCTTCAGATCAGCACAGCTCCAGCTGTAGCAGCCATCTGGGGAGTGAACCAACAGATGGAAGACCTCTCTCTCTGTCTCTACCTCTCTCTGTTACTCTTTCAAATAAATAAAATAAATATTAAAAAAAGAAATCAAAGGATAAAGAAGTTTATCTTTGTTTTCCAGTCTTTCCATCAATGAATAAATTGTGGTTCCCTTAGCTGTAGTGCCCAAAGTCATGTGAATAGTAATTGGCCCAGAATCATGAGTAGTTATAGTCATACCATTCATTCATCCATTAATTCATCAAAAATTTACTAATGTCATACTATATTCCAAGTCCTGGAGATACAGAGATGGGGAAAATTAGATGAATTGTAAGGTCTCTTTCAGCTTCAAATCTTTGTGACTAAGTGAATCTACATTTCTCCCTCCTAAACATCCTGCTAAAGCTATCATAGGTTAAAAATATCATAAATAGAAAATGCACTTGGCCGGCGCCGCGGCTCACTAGGCTAATCCTCCGCCTAGCGGCGCCGGCACACCGGGTTCTAGTCCCGGTCGGGGCGCCAGATTCTGTCCCGGTTGCCCCTCTTCCAGGCCAGCCCTCTGCTGTGGCCAGGGAGTGCAGTGGAGGATGGCCCAGGTGCTTGGGCCCTGCACCCCATGGGAGACCAGGAAAAGCACCTGGCTCCTGGCTCCTGCCATCGGATCAGCGCGGTGCGCCGGCCGCAGCGTGCTGGCCGTGGCGGCCATTGGAGGGTGAACCAACGGCAAAGGAAGACCTTTCTCTCTGTCTCTCTCTCTCACTGTCCACTCTGCCTGTAAAAAAAAAAAAAAGAAAGAAAATGCACTTGATAAGCCTAGTCTGTCGAGCACAGGCTAGTCTGCCAGCTTAGCAGCACAGTGCATTATGGAGCGTGGGTTGCTCCCTTCACAGTCCTGTGGCTTCCGGGGATCTGAGCTGTCTGCTGCTTACCTGTATCAAGAAAGAGCATTGTCTGTACCTCACATTTCCAGCCCAGGAAAAAAACAAAACTCCAAATTTGAGGTACAGTTTCTACTGAAGGCATGTTATTTTCATACCATCATAAAGCTGAAAAATGATAAATGAAATTATTATATTTCTCTGTCCATAGTAAGCTCTGCATTTCCTTCCATACATGTCATAACTATAGAGAGAGAGTTTTTTTCACTTATGAAATTTTCATTTAAATTAAAGATAATAGGGCAGACGTTTGACCTACTTGTAAGTCACAGGTCAGAGTAGCCTCACTCCTCAATGGAGTACCTGAGTTTGAGTTCCAGCTCCAGCCCCTGACCCTAGATTCCCGCTAATGTAAAAGCCTTGGAGGCAGTGGTGATGGCTCAAGTAACTGGGTTCCTGCCTCCCAAACACAAGTCTTGGATCGAGTTCCTGGCTCTCAGATTTGGCCCCTGATGGGTTATTGTGGACATTTGGGAATGAACCAATAAATGAGATTCCTTTCTCTCTCTTTCTCATAAATAAAATGTTTTAAAGTTTAAGGAAAAAATAGAAAAAAAAGGTAATAATACAATTCTAAAATAATCTTTAAAGGTGTTTTTGGGATCACAGCAGTCTGACTTCTGCACCCCGACACTCTGTCCTATCTCCAGAGCTTTCTTCCTCTCCACAATCAAAGGGAACTGCACCCATAAGCAACTGGCCCCAGGTGAAGCCTGAAGCTCTGGGAAGATGGGAATGGTGTGGTGTTTCTTCCACTGGCAGCTTGGGAATACCAAGCTGAGACTTAGGAGAAAGAAGCTAGAGTGAACCAGCAGATGGAAGATCACTCTCTTTGTGTCTCCCTCTCTGTTTGTAACTCTGTCTTTCAAATAAATAAATAAATCTTAAAAAAAATAGCATTTAATCTTGATCTTTGATTATCCTGTAATAAAGACAAGCATAGATAATATCATGTAATTAATTTTTGGAGTGGTTTAAAAAATTTGAATTAAATATTGTATTCTCATATATAATCTGGAGTTATAATTTATCTTTAGATAAAATCCAATTTTATTTGCTTTATAAACTAAGTAATTTGTAAATAAATTAGTGTTAATTTCTTGGCATTAGTTTCTAATAATCTTAAATTATGTTTTTAATTTCACTAGTTTACAAGAATATCTGGTAAAACAAAACATATCGCAGTTTTGTGATGTTGAAGAGAATGTAACCAGTTCTAAGTTAATTGATATCTTCTTCCCTGATTTTAAAATAATGAAAAGCGTGAAATTGGAAAGGACGCTGGCATTACTTCGACCAGATCTCTTTCAACAAAGGAAAGGTAGGAAATTAAGCATAAATTGCTCAAATCTTCTGAAGATGAGATTTGAATGAACCCTATTACAGTTACATTAAAAGACATTATTTTAAAAATCAACATTGAAGCAGAAGCACCAGAACTAAGAAATTAATTTTGTGCTTTCTCAATAATAGTGGATAAAACAGGTTTTGTGGTTAAAATAAAACATTTTTTGTGATTTACAAAGCATTTTTTAACCTGTGCATTTCTCACAGTAGATTTCAACATTGCCAGAAGTATTACATAATAAAGATTACAAGCTTTCACATCGGAAAGGCCACAAGTCAATGCCTGGGTCAACTTGAATTAATAATGTGGCTTGATCAAGATATTTCTTTATCTGTAAAATTCAGAGGATCAAAATGAGAAAACATATACTAAGTACCTGGTGCTTTAAGTGCTAGTCATGTCTAACTTCTCCCATATTAACATAGTGGAGTGAATGTGGAAGAGTAAGAACATAAGTCTCAAATTAGTAGTACTAGATTTGTTGTTAATCTGTGGGTGGAAGAGAGAGAGAAAGACAGAGAGAGAGGCAGAGAGAGAGAGACAGAGAAAGAGTGCTTTCTGCTGATTTGCTCCCTAAATGCCCACAATGGTCTGGACTAGGCCAAGCAAAAGCTGAGAACTGGGAACCCAACCCAGTCTATAACATGAGCAGCAGGGACCCAAGTATTTGAGCCACTGCTGCTGCATCCCAGAGTGCGTACTAGTAACAGGCTGGAATCTGGAACAGAGCCGGGACGTGAAGCCAGGCACTTTGATGGGATGTGGGAATTCCAGAGTAGAGTAGTCAAGATTTCCTTAGTTCCTTATAGGTTTTTACTTCTGGACTATATCCTAGTGCCAGTCATTTTGAAGATTATGCAACTCTGAGTCTTGTTAAATTTTTCTGGAAGATGTTAATCTCTCTGTTTTAACAGTAAATTAGATGGGTTAGGTTCAGACCACAAATCTCAAATAAACTTCTGTGGGCTGTTTTCCAGCTTTTGCAATGCAACTTGTGCACGGCTAAGGGACCAGACCACCTGCCTGGTAGTTCGTCCTGTAGTTCAGTTTTCAAGCTTGGCTTGCCTCTTCTCATATCAGCCGTGCACATGCACATCTCAGGTGTGAACCCACTGCACTGCCTCACTGACAGATATGGGAGCTGCTTTCTCCAGCCTGCTCTTTCTGGATCTCATGACCCCTGTACGTGGTCCTCTCCCTGGAAACCTGCAGTTTAGTCCCAGTGCTCCTGTTCAGGTCTCACATTCAGGCCTGACTCCTGGGGGAAGCGGGGAGAAAAGGATTTGTCCCACACTTTGGGCTGCAGAATCTGCTTTTCCTGCATCGCAGATCCAATTGATGGGTTTAGATGCCTGCAGTGGTTTCGCCATTCCTGAAATACAGTTCTTGGCTGGGGCCAGCCTAGGACATGGAGAACAAAAAAATCAAAACCAAGAGACTTCCTGAAAATGCAGGTAGCCGCCATCCCAGTGTCTCCAATGCACTGGCCTGCTTTCTGCTCCTCACTGAGAGAGGCTTCTCATGGTTGCCCTTTTCTCCAAGTCCTCCGCACAAATCCAGGACTTGATCTGCATGTAGCATAAGCTAGGAGAACAGGAAGGCAAAATATCCCAGAACACTCGCCTCAGTGTTGGATTTTCTTTGAGTTTTAATTTCCCTCCCCATTGTACTTATGATTATTTCCTTTCCAGTGTCTTGAGAAGCTACTGTACATGGTTTTTTGTTGGAATTAGTTGGAGTAGGCTTTATTCTATTTTAACTGGACTTCCTACAAATTCTTTTCAAAAACAAAAAAGATTTTTTTCTGATTAGACAATTAATGAATTCTTATTATATACAGTTTTTATTCCCTTCCCATAAGTAACACTAGAAACCTTTCTGTGTTTAAACAATTTATGTAGGCAGAGCCAAGATGGCGGAATAGTGAGAGTGCACACTGATAGTCCGGGAAAATTTAGTTAAATAAAAGGGGAGTTATGGTAGCCTCAGAAAAAAAGAACCAGGAAAATATTGCAGAGGAAACTCTTTTGGATCGAGGGGCTGTGAATCGGAGGACCTACTGGGAGAACAAGGTCGCCCACCGTGCAAAAGCTGAACCGCGGGAGCCGCGGGTGCCGCGGAAGCCGCAGGGTCTGCGCGCCAGTGCAGGAAGGGGAGTGCATGTCACACAGACAACAGTGGGGAGAGTTGGGATGTCCTGGGCTCCGAGTCCACACATCGGCGCTGGAAGGGGAGGTGAGCTCAATAACCCGAGACATTGGCGGGGAAATAGGGGTCAGAATCTAGAGGGGGGCCGGAAAGTGCAGCAAACTCACTACCGGAAAGAAGAAGAAAAAAAAAAAGCTTGGGGGTTTCTCTTTCCCCTAACCTTGCAAAGGTTGCAAGGCTGCAAGGCTTGAAGAATTCGAAAGAGACAAAGAGCAGGCCCCCTCTCTGGATTTACATATCAACAGGGGAGAGCTAAGGAACTGAGTCACTACAATTCAGTAGCCTAGGCAACCCAGTGGGAGTCCAGAGGAGCCTACACAGACTCTTTGGATAGAAGCCAGAGACTGGAAGCTAAATACCATCAATTCTGCACAGCCGTGCCATGCGGTATTACTTACCCCCTGAATAAATAAAATAAATAAATAAATAAATAAATAGAGAGAGATTTACCACGCATAACCTGAGGGTGTCACCTTTGCACACCCTTAACCAGGAAGAACCAAGCAGAGCTCTCAGGCCACACCCATCTCAAGCCTCCAAGGCTCCTCCAACAGCAGGCAGTCCACTTAACACGGACATAGTATAAAAAAAATAAAATAAAATAAAATAATTTAAAAAAAAACGCACAGTGACGAAAGAAGAATTAACTATGCCAAGCAACAAACACAGAAATAGGGGAACAAGATCAACGATGACACTATGATGCCTCCAAATAAACAAAACACCCCAAACCAAGATTATGAAGATGATGAGATAGAAGAAATGCAAGATACGGATTTCAAAAAATTTATGATAAGAACATTTCGAAGTTTTCAAAAGCAAATCCTTGAACTACAGAAATCCTTATTGGACAGGATTGAAAATCTCTCTCGTGAAAATGAAATTTTAAGGAAGAATCAAAATGAAACTCAGAAACTAGTAGAGCAGGAAAGTGTGATAGTGAAGAGAAATCAAAATGAAATGAAGAGTTCAATAGATCAAATAAACACATTAGAAAGCCTTAAAAACAGAATGGGTGAAGCAGAAGAGAGAATATCGGACTTAGAAGATAGAGCACAGGAAAACATACAGTCAAACCAAAGAAAAGAAGAGGAAATTAGAAATCTAAAAAATATTGTTGGGAATCTACAGGATACTATTAAAAAAACCAACATTCGAGTTCTAGGAGTTCCTGAAGGCATGGAGAGAGAGAAAGGATTAGAAGGCCTTTTTAGTGAGATACTAGCAGAGAACTTTCCAGGTTTGGAGAAGGACAGAGACATCCTAGTACAGGAAGCTCATAGAACCCCCAATAAACATGACCAAAAGAGATCCTCACCACGACACGTGGTAATTAAACTTACCACAGTGAAACATAAAGAAAAGATCTTAAAATGTGCAAGAGAGAAGCGTCAGATTACTCTCAGAGGATCTCCAATCAGAATCACAGCAGACTTCTCATCAGAAACACTACGGGCTAGGAGGGAATGGCGAGACATAGCACAGGTGCTAAGAGAGAAAAATTGCCAGTCCAGAATATTATATCCTGCCAAGCTCTCATTTGTGAATGAAGGTGAAATAAAGACCTTTCATAGCAAACAGAAATTGAAAGACTTTGTGGCCACTCGTCCGGCCCTGCAAAAGATACTTAAAGATGTGCTACACTCAGAAACACAGAAACACGGCCATCAATATGAAAGAAGGGAAAGGAAGAACACCTACCAGTAAAAGAGCATGGGAAGCTCAAAGCATATACTAGAAAATATTTCCGGGAAAATGGCAGGGCAAAGTCACTACGTATCAATAGTCACATTGAACATTAATGGTCTGAATTCTTCAGTTAAAAGACACCGTTTGGCTGATTGGCTCAAAGAACACAACCCAACTACTTGTTGCCTACAAGAAACACATCTCTCTAACAAAGAGGCATGCAGACTGAAAGTGAAAGGTTGGAAAAAGATATTCCATGCCAACAGAAACCAAAAAAAGCAGGTGTAGCCATATTAATATCAGACAAAATAAATTTTAATACAAAAACTGTTAAGAGAGACAAAGAGGGGCACTATATAATGATTAAGGGTTCAATTCAACAGGAAGATGTAACTATTATAAATGTATATGCACCTAATTACAGGGCACTGGTCTATTTAAAAGATATGTTAAGGGACTTAAAGGGAGATTTAGATTCCAATACAATAGTACTGGGGGACTTCAATACTCCACTCTCAGAAATAGACAGATCATCCGGACAGAGGATCAACAAGGAAACAGCAGATTTAATTGACACTATTGCCCAAATGGATCTAACAGATATCTACAGAACTTTCAATCCTACATCTACAGACTTCACATTCTTCTCAGCAGTGCATGGAACCTTCTCTAGGATTGATCACATACTAGGCCATAAAGCAAGTCTCAGCAAATTTAAAAGAATTAGAATCATACCATGCAGCTTCTCAGACCACAGCGGAATGAAGCTGGAAATTAGCAACTCAGGAAACCCCAGAAAGTATGCAAACACATGGAGACTGAACAACATGCTCCTGAATGAACACTGGGTCATTCAAGAAATCAAAAGAGAAATCAAAAACTTTCTGGTAGTAAATGAAGACAACAACACAACAAATCAAAAATTATGGGATACAGCAAAAGCAGTATTGAGAGGCAAATTTATAGCAATAGGTGCCTATATCAAGAAATTGGAAAGGTACCAAATAAATGAGCTTTCAGTGCATCTCAAGGACCTAGAAAAACTGCAGCAAACCAAACCCAAATCTAGTAGGAGA